CTTTAGGCTTTGGGCTAAATTAAAATAATAAAGACATGGTTCGCAAGACCGAAACTATTTTAAAGAAGCACGATTTAGAAATTAGCTAGAGTAAAAAAATAAATGAAAAAGTTGCGTCAAATGTAATTACCTTGGAAGAACTCTTCATCGCGTACCATAAATAAGCCCGAATAAGCCAAGAAGAATTTGAACGAATTTATTCCTGTAAAAGAACTATTCATATACCTTCTCTAAAGCTATGTAGTTTCATCTCAACGCCACAAGATAAACCCCTTTCACAAAATTGGCATATAAATGTTATGTACCGTATTCTGGCTTCACCACCTCTTCCATTTGCCTTTCAATTTCTTTATTCCAACTGGTAATTGCCATCGATAAGCCATAATCGCAACACACCTGCATATTCAAATATAATGACTTTAATAACATTCATTTTTATCAGTCAGCAGTTATTTGATTACTTGTTATTAATTATTTAGTCTCATTCATCAGTGCATAGCAATAGAGCGCACAATTATCAGATAGAATTCTGATAAAACCTCGAGTAAAGGCTGTAAAGAAAAACGATCAGTAGATGGAGTTCGGGCACTACATAAATTCGGACAAAAAGCAAAAAAGTAGTTGGGCTAGGCGAGGTATTTTCCGGCATCTTGCAGAAGTTGAGTCTAGTTTCAAAATCAGTGAGAACTAAAACTCGGACAAGTTAGAAAAAAAAACAGAAAACAGCAATTAATAACATTAAGAGAGAAAAAAAGAGAAAAGCCGTTACCTTGGGATCAGCCCATTCCCTCCATTGCTTGTAAGCAGCCAACGGAGTGCTGTCCTTCGTTGGAATCACGAAATCGATAATCTAAATAAAAAATGAGAAGAAAACAAAGAAAACAGTAGACAAGAATAGCATGAGCAAATTGAACTCTTAATTTTGGGGATGGAAACAAAAACATAAACAAAAAATGCTTGAACTAGAACTTGACAGCACTATGAAGAAGCCGTAGAGCGTGAAGATCAAGTTCAAGAGACCTCAGTGTGGAGAGCATTCTAGATAAATCCAGGGAGTAGTGTAAAAGACGGAGAACATCGAGTTCCGTGTCCATCTTTCGACACGGCGGTCCATCCTGATGCTGCATACGCCAAAAAATCGAAGATCAGGTGGGTTGATCAAGTCATGCTATTTTGTCATGAGCATTGGACCAGGATGTTCATCGACTGATTCCCTGGTGACGTCGAGCGAACACCAGGACGGCAGCTAGTGGGATGCTCAGACTTCTTCACGAAAGTTCTGGACGGAAGAAATGGTACGTCTCATGTAAGTCGACTGAGAAGTGACTCGTGATTGAGTATATCGGTGATCAAAGAGATGACGAGAGATAAAGGTACTGTGAACTAAAACCCCTGTGTTTACCGCTGATGGTTAGGAAGGCGGGGCTGTAGAGACGCTAGCGGTCGCGGTGCGGTAAATGACGCGGCATCAGTGCATGTACATAAGGTGTAAGTTTAGAGGCCACCCATACTTTTTCTCAAGCCGAAATACGACGATTACGTCTACGACTAGGACGACTGCAATTTTTCCACAAGATGGATTTCTGTCAAGTGGATTCTAAGCACTCAGTGGGTCACCCGGTGATCTGTACCTAAGCTCATCCGAAACCATCTTCCGCCCATGGACTCGATTCATCTTCTGTTTTCGATCACCTAGTATAACTCAAGATATACAAAATTGTAGAATATATGCACGAAATAGTATTGATGAGATAAATTTTTATTCTGAGACGAATCTTTCTGATTTCTAACCGACCATTGTTGTCCCACCCGCAAGGGCTGCTCGTGTTCCTTGGTAAAAGTCATCTACAGCTACTTCACCCATGAATGGCAGCTGCATGTGAGTGTGAGGATCGATACCACCTGGAATCACCATCTTTCCTTTTGCGTCCAGCACTTGAACGCCATTCGCAGCATTGATTGAAGGAGCTACCTCGCTGAAAAAGCTATCATTCATTCCAAATTGTAAATGTCCGTGCTTATGATTATTTAAATTGTCCAATTCATTTGTTACGATAGGTAACGTACAAACACGCGTCCATTAAAAAGTTTTTATTTCCTTCAATAGAATTGTAGGGGATAGGGGCTTTCTAACCCTTGGATCGCGACGGGAAGTCCAGTGATACAGGAGGCTCATCCCCATAGTCAAGCCCCCCCCCCCTCCCTATTAAGATCACCCCCATCCTGTTCGTTTCCTCCCTCTCCCTGAGGACGAGATGCTCGATATTTGGCTGGAACCGAAATGGACTTTTTCAAAGACTATTCAGACAGGTTCCAAACTCGAACGAGGTATTTGCACCAAGGAGCACTTGCAATCAGAAATCAGTCAATCACTAGAAGTACCATTCCTGACTGTACTGAAATAATTTTTGGAAGAGTGTGAAATACAAGCGAGAGCTTACTCAGTGAGCGGAAGCGAATAACAAAGTATAGTTCTAGCACTGCCTCACAGGCTCCTCTCCCTTTCCCCTCCCCGCCCTCCCCCTTGACCAAAACTAGACTCTTCCCGAAGCGCTTGAAAGGCTTTCGGCAGCAAAAGCATGGTAACAGAAAAGTGAGAGAAATCTTTCGAACGCAGAGAGACGTCTACAAATGAACTTACACGATGATGCCGTCCTTGACCAGAATATCAGCGTTGAACATTGCATCCTCGTTAACAACGGTGCCATTCTTGATTAGCAGAGCCATTTTTAAGCTAGAAACAAATCTTCGAGAAACCGAAGAGCCAGAACTTGTTTAGATAGTCGTAGTGGGCATCAGATGAAGCACTGGACCGAAAGCGAGACTTTTGCCATAGATGAACCGGGAGCTAGAGTATTGGATCTTTGGAGATTGGAAGTCACAACTTTAAAAAAGGAAAAACAGACACTTAGAAGTTTTCAATGCATTTGTAGCTGCTTTTGCCAATAGATTCAGATAAAATGTGGCCAATTACGAAGGTAATGGTGCGCTGTTTAGAAGATCTAGTGAGACGACTCGGGACTTTCCCATGAAACTCCTGTATACCAGAAGATGGGTACATCCCACCCGTATTTCACCGAACGAAGCATTTGAAGGCAAAGTAGCCACTGAAAGGTTATGCCTTAGTTCAGTGGAATATTAGCCTAGATTTGCGTACAGTACTAGATTATACTCTTCTGAGCGTGTCGTTGAAGGTTAGTGGTGAGCATCCACAATAGGATTCCAGACCAGCTTGAGAATTAAAAGAAATAAGAAGAATGAGTCGAGGATCGACTCTGCTCCCGTATGGCACCATGCTACCATATGCATATGCATGCATACGCTTACCGAGAATTCCTTATCGCTTTGGGTGTTTATGGAAGCAGAAATGTCTGCATCCTCCTTGTTTGGGTACACTTTTTCCCATCAGCTATGAACAGTTCTTCAGTTCAGTTCTCCTTCTTATTTGGACGGAATGGGTAGCCCTCTAGAAGTGTCATCCTTTGACCAAAGCGTCCTGTATTCGTTTAAAATCTTTGATTGATCGAATCCCCATCGAGTTTGCATTGAAGATCTATTCTTGTCCGTTTTAACGCTTCTTGGCAGGGAGAAGCGGTGTTCAAAAATTTTGGGTCTCCTAGCTCCACTGATGAATGTTTAGTTCACGTCCCCAGCCGTCAAAGTAACCATTTTTTCTGCCAATTTTATGAAAGTGATGCCGGTCAGTCGCCTGCGCCTCAGATAAGTCCCTATGACATGCACTTCCAGCAACAAAACGTTTGACTACATGCTTTGCCATGATGTAGGTTCAACTGTCATATATCACCTCGTGTGACGCCTGTTACATTGCACTTAGTGGGTTTACGGGAAATCTGTGCCAGCCACTAGCACTTCAAGGCAGTTCCATCTTTTTAGTGATTAATAGTGAGTGGATCAGGGACACAGACAAGACTTGGTTTGAGAACTTGACCAAGAAAGTTATGGACCTTCAGAAACTTATGGACCTTCTTTGAGACTATAGAACAAACTGCAATACAAAAATTTAGGTCCCTCTGGTGTCCACTCAGGTCAACTGGGCTCTGATAGGCGTGCAGAGCTCACTACTTTCAAAAAAAGTCCCATGGCGCCCAGACATGCCACCAAGTGATGGTTGCTGAAAGTTAGGTGGGAATCCTACAATGGTTAAGGATGGAGCAAAGGATGTCACGAAACTAAATGCCTCTCCCTTTCCAACTCATCTTCTTATTCATGTCGGGTAACCTTTTTGATATTGGTCCTTTCCTTGAAGCTAACGAATCCTCAATCTGCCAACCTTCGTAAACTCAAAACCCATACATACGACTCCACAATGTGGAAAAGAGGAAGAGGGCATGGCGTACACAGAGAAAAGGTAGCAGTATTTCTCCGAACAGACAAACTTGCTACCACCCGCTCCCATTTTCTGCTTTTCCTTGTCGGCATTATGTTGACCGATNNGAGCAACCTTATCAACGCGCTCGGAACTGTCTCGCCAGCTCCCGAACTGATGAACGAGGGCTCTCGTTCAGGGAACGGTTTCGGGATATCATTATCAGCACAATCCAAGCTGGTCCTACTCTTATATCCCTGTTTATACTGATACTCTCTGTTATTGCAATCAGTTTCGAGAAACAAAAACTAAAAGATACCCAGACCTCAATCTCAACTGATTCCTCCCCGTTCGAAAATCAGTCAGTCCAATCAGAAAAACTTCAAAAATACAAATAGAGTCAAGAAGAAGAAGAGTTTATACCGATAAACAAACTCGAATAAATAATCGGGTTATGAGATTCGAAGCGGAACTGACTATATAAATATGAGAAAGATGGAGTGATGAAAACGTTACAATCTAGATTTTAAGCTCGCCATTCACTCTCCGTAGATTATGCAAAAACTCGCGTGACCTCTCAATTTACGTTTCGAGTCAAAAGAAATTCCGTTCTATCAAAAAGAGAAGATAAAATAGAAAATAAATTCAAAAAACTAATAGACTATTAAGCGACCAAGTATAACGCCGTAACAAAGCTGTAAGTTCATTGACCGCCACATTAAAGCCTCGAAAGCGTTAGTAGTGACCGAACAAACGAAAAGAAAAAACGGAAATAAATAAACAAGCACGTACACACATGTGCTTCTCCGGGATCAGAGATTGGATAGAAAGAAACTCTTAGAGACTAGGCTGGTTCTGGTGGAGTGATTGAATGGGACGAGAGGGCAAAGGTGGCTTGAAGGGTGCGGCAGCATATGGCCTGTTACACTACCGGACAAAACGGTGGGATGCCAGTGTTAATCACCGCCGTATAAATTTTAGAATTGCTAGGGGAGCAAAAAAAATGACGATAATGAAGGGTGGGAAGGGTCACGGAGCGTTATTTATAGTGAAGATAGTAACGACAACAGAAAAAAATGAAGTGTTTATGCAAATGCGTTAGATCTCTTTCCCTTCCTCTCTCGTCTTCTCTACCAGAACCCTGTCGTTCGACCTCCCGGTGGATTTCGGACTCGTGTCGTTGCTGGTCGGCTATCAACGCCTGTAATACGATCGTCTCAAAACTATAAAAAACAGAATCATTTCAACATCACCCATTCCATATCTCAGGTCCCTACGAGGTAATAATATACCTATGATATATAATACAAAATATTTTATATATACTTAATTGTATACGGTACAATACCGTACAGCATAAAACGAACAAGAAACAAATAATGAGGGCTCTCAATTATGCACGATGAGGGTACACGATATGTCTGCAGGATACGCCATGCATATTAAATCCCAAGGAAATAAGAGCATGTGAGGTGTATATCAATTTTTTCAGCTACGTATGATTTGATAAGCCCGTTACAACGCCAAACGTTTCTCTCCGGTCATTAATCTAATACCGTCCAAACGAAAATAAATAGAAGCACAGAACAACAGAGTACATTCTTACGATGAGGCGGTTCTGAACCAGCCTAAAGGAATTCACGTAGGACACTGCAGTGATTAGAGGCTTTATATCTGTATTTACGAGCTGTCGTGTCCGCTTCTACGATCAATGCCGTCGTAAAGGCGATGGCGTACGCAAGCGGAACAAGACAGCAGCAACATAAAAGGTAATGACCCATCTGATAAGGGACTTTTTATGTTCACTTCTCGAATTTACTGTTTTTCGACTTTTCATTACTCATTTTCAGGACTGAAAAAATTAATTAAGGCTATCACGTCGAGAACGTGGTCAGGGCGTCGGATCGAATCCTACGGAGACAAATCAAGCTCCCAATTTGACTACTTACTTAGGGACAACTCTCAATGAAAAAGCAAGCACAACCAATTCCGTCATTTGACAAAATACGTGACCCAATGGTTACTACATAAATTCCACCTATTCCATCCAATACCCTTACAGTTTTGGTAAGAAATAAATGCATGTTTAAGCGAAAACTAACCAAAGATAATGATTGAAAATCTCCCTGAAAGCTTTCCGACATTTTAATCGACAGCCCTCAATGAATTCAGCGAAAAGCAACTGTTAAATCTATATGCTGTGAAAGTGATTTCATTTTGGTTTCATTTTAAACTTTTCCAAATTTCTAAGATAAAAAAAGCTGAAATATACCTAAGGAATGAGCCATATCTTCAACAACCATTCAAAAAGAGCCAATGGATACCAAGCATTGTAAAATCTATCGGTTTTCAGTAGCAGAATATTTCCCCTCTTAGCGCAGCCGTCTACCGACTAGCATATCTTTAAGGGATAGATTGTTTGCTTAGGGTGTAATGGAGCTTTCAGTCTTTGCAAGTATCATTCTCCAAATGGGTAGCGTTTTAATTATCAACCCATCTAGCAGTGGTAACTTAAGCCTAAGCAGCGAGGATGACCAATCTCGTGGGGCTATAGCGTGACTAGTGGCCATATCCCTTACGCAGCCATTAACTCGAAGCCACGAAACCCTCACATCTCTTAATGAGTGAATTTGAGTTCGCACTAACATTGAAATCCGGCCTACAGTAAACCTGTCTTTTACGAATAATTACTCAAACTCTTAAAAGGCAACGGCTCTCCCAACCAGATGGGCAGTTCTTTCAAAGAATACCAGAGGAAAAACAATCGTTTAAATAATACTAAAGCCAGGCAGGATCAATATGGACACTTATAAATCCGAGTAGCGAACAACCAGAAACTGCTTCTATCCATCTATCCATACTTACCAAAACTGATATTCGATTCCATATGTGACTTTCGAGGAATTGGTCGATCAAACGGTGATGGTTCCGGATTGCCTCGCCTGGGAAGATGCCCATTGGACGACACACCTGGTGCATCAGCTCGATCGACTTTTTCAGCAGTATTGATCTGGAAAATCATTGATTTAGGTACAAGACATGCCGTCAAGGACCCTATTGAAGGACTATACCTTGTCTCTTTGCTGAACTACACTGAACAAGTAGGGGCTATTAGGTGACAGCTGTATAAAACCGCCTTTGACGTCTTGAATCTTGCCATCTTTCCATGCCACACGACCACCCACTATCGTCACTGCTGCCTGTAATAAGTACATTTACAGATACACAACAAGCCTACGCCATATTATCAACGACATGCGCTGGATCTATGAGCTATCCTCAACAAAGGATAAGGGCAACTTTTCCCTAAATCGGACTAGTGCATAAAAAACTGTGTCAGTCTAAGGTCGCAAACTGCAACGCGACCGCTCGCAGCGGTGACATTTACATTTTGGCAGGGTCATTCATAAGAGTAATGAACCGATTCTCAGCTCACCTGCGCATGCACAGTCATGCCCTCATATACAGTGAGATCAACGGATGATTGTCTTTCGGCGGCCGACAATTTCCAGCGGCCAGATGCATCCCATAGAACAAGATCAGCGTCTGCACCAACAGCAATACGCCCCTAGACAGCAATCAACTTGAAAATGAAGTCTTACGACTAGCTATCAGACTCTTTATGTCTAGAAGTGACAAGTGGAAAACTGATAAATGAAACTAACCTTTTTCGGGTACAGATTGAACATTTTCGCAGCATTTGTTGATGTAACCGCGACAAATCGCATGGGATCAATTCGTCCTGTACGCACTGCTTTCTCCCATACCACACACATCCGCTCTTCGACGCCCACTGTTCCCTGAAAATGTCAGATTATCCAATTCGTCTTCTGTATGCCATGACCGCATCCTACTACACTGTAATTACTTAGAATTCTAGAATAAACTTACTTTCGGCATAGATGTGAAATCTTTAGCACACAGGCGACTATCCGTTGAAATAGCACGATGACCCGAGGTACAGACAGCGAGAGGTTGACTGAAAACCGAATAACATCGAACACTTCTTCTTACAATAGAAATCATGATATGTACCTAGCCAGCGCTGATATAAGTTTGCTTGAGCCCTCCGTTCTCAGCGGAACTTCAGTCATATGTGTGGATGCATGCTTTAGGCACTTATTGAAATAGTGAGTTCCATCAGCAACCATTGCGGCACTCGCAATTTCGGCATGAGCTATGGCTCCCGAACACCGTGCCCGTTCCAATGCCGCTAACGATTCAGCCGAAGAAATCTGAAACTCGTACGCATCCAATGCATAGGTGCAGCTACAAGAAAAAAAACAATCCCGACACGTCATTACTGCAAACGTATTCTGAGACCGAATCATGGATCAGATTTCATCTATTCAAATCAAACTTTCCACGAAGGTTCTAGGTACCCCAAAGTGGGCGAGTTATAGGCAAGTCCAGGTACCTATGCGAGTGGGGACACTGGTTTTTCATGCTTTGGCCGCAGGCACATACCACTGCATGGGTCAAAGGATGCATACAGCTGGCCCTACAGTTCCCAGCATAAGCCAGATGCGTTGCGCATCGAGCACGGATCCCTCTCTAGCTATTTAGCTAAACGCATGACTATCCTATAGTAGAGCCGCCAGCACGTATTGGCCAAAAGCGCAACGAGACCAGATAATCGTTTTACTGCTCCGGAAAAACGAATTGCCGAAACACAGTTATTCAAGTTGTGTGCGGAACCGCTTGATTGAAAAACGACCCGTTGCGAACGCAATGTTTTTCGGCTGATTGCATTTCGGAGTACAGATTAGGCCCTTTGCTGCATAAAATATCAATAGGACGGCGAGGTGAGTGGATAGAAATTCAATTGAAGTAAATTGGACAAAATACTAAACATACGCCACTTATAGTATTTGCACTCGTCATTTTCAAATAGGCATGAACGCAAACCATGGAAATCATTCAGACCCCATAGGCACGCTACCACCGAAACCTTACCACTAAATAACTTCTCAGGTCCAATGCTCATCTACCGACTATTGACAATTTTTCATAGAATTTCAGTATTTTACCAATTTTCCAGTCCAATGCGGCCCATTTAACCCATATCGAAAATTGCATTAACATTTAAATGCGTTTTGAACTTTATATTAGCCAGCACAATGTTTTCTACTCTCTTCAATAACCTCGTTGCCAATAGTGCAAGCAAATTTCACTGATCTCGGCGGGTCATGAATATGGGCCCTAGTGAAACGACTGGGCCGATCCACCATTCTTTCAATAGATCCTAGAGGTTACTCCCGATAATTCGTGCGATAGTCCATTATCCAGCCGGAATCACCAGCTGTAACTAAGAGAACGTCCAAAAGTGCCCAGAGTGAGATGTTCCTCTAAAAGTTCCAAAAAATATGCTCTTGAGGGATTTCTTTCAATCACATACCAACCTCAGATAACCTCTTTGAAAGATTAACGGACTCACCGACAAAACTGAAACAGGACAGTTGCTCAACTGGCTCAACACACACAAACTGTTCACGCGTTCGCTTTCCAACTGAAAATATTGCGATCTCTGAATTCGATATGGCAAGAAAATTGAACTATTCAATAAAAAATAGAGTTCTATAGCCTGTCCTGCGATATCACCCAGCACCCACCTCCTCAGGCCTCGATTGTAAAAAGCCTTCGGGTCCCGTAATTCCAAGATCAAGCATTTTCTTTTCCAGATAAGGCACGATGGTACGATTTTCAGGCAAAACTCGAGCATGTACACCAAGTGTTCTACAATGTTCCAGTACCTGCAACAATTTTTTTTAGCAGTTTGCTACCAAAAAATATGCCAGCATTCGGAAAATAGAAAGCT